CCATGATGGCATCTCTCCTTGCCTCTGGGTACCCGGCTCTGCCTGCCACCATCCCTAACACCAGACTTGGTCCCTGCCCCACACCCGCAGTGATGGGCGTGTGCCGGCCTCTGCAGGATCACAGAGCCTTATTCCTTATCAGTTGGTGAGAACAGTCAGGAAAGCCTCGCCAGAGGAGAAGGGGATAAGCTGAGTCAGAAGTAACCAGCTGGAGGATATAGGGAAGCAAAGGGAAGGTCGTGCCAGGCAGAGGAAGCAGGGGTGTGACACCACTGTGTGGGAGGCAGGGCAGAGAGGAGGGGAGCCCCAAGCGCATCTGTGTAACTGAGCTAAGTAGAAGGTGCCCAGGAAGACAGCTTCCCGGCTCACAGAGCCCCAAGGGACCACGATGTGATGAAAAATCAGTAGATCCCAGACAGACCTGGGTTTGGATCGCGATACCGTGAAGGGGCAGAACTGCCTAGGGGTTACCGTGGCGCTCTCCGGAGCTGCATTGCCTGGGTTTGAATCCCAGCCCTGCCCCTTGTCAGGGTGTGACTCTGAACCTCAGAGTCCACATCTTACAGGACAGGTGGGAACAGCACCCCTACCTCATAAGGCTGGAGGCAGGATGGCGCGCATCCACAGAGACAGGTGCTTGGAGCACTGCCCGGCCGTCTGTAGTGATCATTTATAAACTGAATACATGTCTTGTCGTCACTGGACCTCAGTTTCTTCTTCCGTGAAATGGGGGTGACTGTACTTCCTGGGCAGGGAGCTTGTGAGGCTTAAGCACCCTCTGCAGGCTGTCCGTTCCTGGCTCCCGCAGGGACTCTGAGTGGTGGCCGCCAGCACTACCATTATCGTGGTTGTTACGCTTCCCGGTGGGTCAGGCGTAACGCGTCTGTCTGCAACGCTGGAGACCTGGGTTCGATCCCTGGGTCGGGAAGATCCTCTGGAGAAGGAAATGGCACCCCCCTCCAGTACTCTTGCCTGGAAAATCCCATGGACAGAGGAGCCTGGTAGGCTTCAGTCCATGGGGTCGCAGAGAGTCGGACACGACTGAGCGACTTGACTTGACTTTCATACTTCCCTGTCGGCTGGTTTGGCCCAGGGTTCTGGCTCACTTGCTCCCTCACTCTGCCCTGCAGACGTCACAGATCACCCAGCCTGGAGACGGGAAATGCAGTGCTGTCTGTCAGGGCCACGGCAGTCCTGGAAGGCTGCCTGCCTTTTGCTGGGCAGCAGCGACTCAGGTGCTCTCTGGCCGTGCTGGCAGCTGTGTGGTCGGCTTTCCCCAAGTGATGCAAGAGGCCGACACAGGGTCCTCCCTGAAGCTGGTGCAAATTAGCGTCACACAGCTGACTCTGGGCCCGATGCTGATGGGGATGCAGCTATGATCAGCACAAGGAGATCCCGGCACCATTCCGCTCCCTGTTTTCTCCATCCACTTGGAGCTAAGACAGGAGGGGACAAGGCCAGGTCCTGGGTGTCACGGTTGGGTTCCCTGTGTGCCCCTGTCTGTCTGTTATCTAGTCTTCATCTCAGGAAGGCAGCGTGGGGTGTTTACAACTGGACCCAGTTTAGAATGAAAAAGCCTAGAAATGATATTGTGCAATATGTCTTCCAAACCACTTGTGGTTTTTACTTTATTTTACAATAAGTTAACATCACTGGAAATTTCCTTAATTTACTTTGAAGGGCACACCATGGGCAGCAATGAGAGGGGGCAAAGATGACCACTTAGCTCCAGATTTCAGCTTGTTTGTATTTTCGACAATGACCATCAGAGGAAGGTCTTGATAAATCAGAGGCAAGCCCGTGTGACTATCGGATAACACCAAGCCTGTGTCCCAGTCTCGTTTGCTAAATGTCAATATTCACGTACATGAACATTTTTGGGGACTCTCCTTTGGCATTTCTCTATTTGGATATATATCAAGGTGGGGAGGGTGATTTCTTTTTTTTTAATTAATTGATTTTTATTGGAGTATAACTGCTTTACAATGCTGTGTTAGTTTTTCCTATACAGCAGAATGAATCAGCTATACATATACATATATCCCCTCCTGCTTTTAGCTCCTTCTCCTTCAGGTCAAAGCAGTGCTACAAGTAGAGTTAAGTAGAGTTCTCTGTGCTGTACATTATGTTCTCAGTAGTCATCGTTTTACACATAGTATCAAAAGTGTTTATGTGTCAACCTCGGTCTCCCAGTTCCTCCCATTCCCCGACCTCTTCTGCGCAGTCACTGCAGTCCTCAGCCACTTGGGTCGTGTGTCTGACTGAAGCACAGCGTCTGACTCTTTGCGACCTTACGGACCGTAGCCCGCCAGGCTCCTCTGTCCATGGGATTCTCCAGGCAGGAACAGTGGAGTGGGTTGCCGTGACCTCCTCCAGGGGATCTTCCTGACCCAGGGATCAAACCCACATTGCAGGTGGATTCTTTATCTCTGAGCCCCAGGGGGAAGCCCCCAGGTGGTTTCTGATAACCTACAAATCCTGTCTCCAAAGCCCCAGTTCTTGGCTGGGGACCCACGGTGTCACACCTGTGGGAAGCAGAGTGTTGCCACTCACAGATCTGGGCCCGTGTGAGTGGATGTGAACTCATCAAAGACAACGCACACTTTCCTGTAGCTGTGGCTGGAACAGAGCTCGGAGGATGAAAGGCCCGGCGCATCTGTTATGTGGAAATGGAGCTGTTCCCTCGGCAGATGCGTGTTTGACCTTTTTTTCAGGAAGTTAAGCATCTCTTAGCTCTGCAACTTGAGTGGCACACTCTCTTAGTTCGAAGGCTCACCCACACTGCCTGTGCTCATCAATATATGGATGAAGCTCAGCCCATGTTGTCTCCATGAATTTTTAAACTTTCTGCTCAGGCAGAAGGAGTTTTAAACAGTTGTTAATTACCCAAATGCTGGGGGAGGAAAAAGAAAAATTTTTCAGCACTCATTGAGCCAAAGATGGTGAGAGAGAATTTATGAGTCTTGGTATTTCTTCATAGAGAAGGAGTTAACTAAAAAATGAAATTGGTTATGCCCTCCCATTATTCCAGCTGTGGTCCAACTTAGGCTTATATGTGTCCACTGGGGTGGATGCTTCCTCTCACACAATTACACATTTAGTCTTCGCAAATAAAAGATAGTTCAGTTCAGTTCAGTCGCTCAGTCGTGTCCGACTCTTTGCAACCCCATGAATCGCAGCACGCCAGGCCTCCCTGTACATCACCAACTCCCAGAGTTTACTCAAATTCATGCCCATCGAGTCTGTGATGCCATCCATCCATCTCATCCTCTGTCATCACCTTCTCCTCCTGCCCCCAATCCCTCCCAGCATCAGGGTCTTTTCCAACGAGTCTACTCTTCACATGAGGTGACCAAAGTACTGGAGTTTCAGCTTCAGCATCAGTCCTTCCAATGAACACCCAGGACTGATCTCCTTCAGGATGGACTGGTTGGATCTCCTTGCAGTCCAAGGGACTCTCAAGAGTCTTCTCCAACACCACAGTTCAAAAGCATCAATTTTTCAGTGTTCAGCTTTCTTCACAGAAGATAAGGAGGGTTTAATTTTGTTCCTGTTATTTTAGGCAGGTTTACTCAACAGATATATATCAAGCCCCTATTATGTGCTAGGCACTTTTCTAAGTGCTGGAGATACATCAGTGAACAAATCAGAAAAGAGTCTCTGTGCTTTGGGGGTTTACATTCTATCGGGGGGCAGAGAACCAACAATAAGAAAAGCAAATGAGTGGAGTATGTAGCTTATAGAAGGTGCTGCATGCTTGGGAGAAGGGAACAAGTGGAGTAGAGTAAGAGAGATCCAAAGAAACAGATGGTTTAACCTCAGGTGGCCGGGGGAGGCCTCACTGAGAAGGTGACATTTGACCCAAGATCTGAAGGAGATGAGGGAGGGGCCATGCAGGTGTCTGTAGAAAGGGTGCTGCAGGTGAAGGGACAGCCAGTGCAAAGGCAACTGATGATCAGGAGGTTCAGTTACTAGAATTTGTCCTTTTCCCCTAACGTCCCATGAAATGTACCAGGCCTTGAATATTCCTTATCTGATGCCCCAGTGTCGGAGAGCCAGGTATTAGCCCATGAAACATCATGCCAAGAACATTTGCAGAGCACTGTAGAGGTTAAAAAGCAATTTCCTGTGGATCGATGGAACGGTTCTCTACCCTGGCTGTGGCGGTGGCTTCATGAATGTGTTAAAATTCATAGAACTGTACTCTCCTAGAGTCAGTTTTACCCAACGTTAACTTAAAAACATGAACATGTTGAAAACCAGTTTAGTGCATTTTATTTCTGTCTGCTTAAAGACATGTGGAGTAGGGAGGGCAGAGATAAGAACCTCCATTTTGCAGACCAGGAACCTGTGGCCAAAATATTACTAAGCTGTCAGAGACAGACTGGGCTTCCCAGGGGGCTAAATGGATAAAATATCCTCCTGCAATGCACGAGGTGCAGGAGATGCAAGTTCGATCCCTGGGTCAGGAAGATCCCTTGGAGGAGGGCATGGCAACCCACTCCAGTACTCTTGCCTGGAGAATCCCATGGACAGAGGAGCCTGGTGGGCTACAGTCCATAGGGTCGCAAACAGTCGGACACGGCTGAAGCGACTGAGCACAAGAGGCAGACCAGGGCTCAGGAACCAGTCCATCCAGAACCTTTTCTCGTTGGATACTGCAGACCCTGCCACACTGCCTCCCAAACAAAAGTGGACCACACTGCCAGACCTCCTGGCAATGGGAAAAGTGAAAGTGAGAGTCATTCAGTCGTGTCTGACTCTTTGTGACCCCATGGACTGTATAGTCCATGGGATTCTCCAGGCCAGAATACTGGACTGGGTAGCCTTTGCCTTCTCCAGGGGATCTTCCCAACCCAGGGATCCAACCTGCACCTCTTGTGTCTCCAGCATCGGCAGGTGGGTTCTTTACCTCTGCGCCACCTGGGAGCCCCTTCTTTTGCCTGGTCACACGCATCTAAGGTTCCTCCGTGTCTGTTCATGGCTTTTATGGTGCATTTTGTTCTGACTCTACGGAGCTGGTCCTCAACAAGGGTCCTTCCACTCAGTATTGTTCGAGCAGCCAGAATGGGACTGGGTTTGGTTTAGAGGCAAAGGAAAGGTTAATCCTTAAATCAAAGGGTGGAGAGGTGCAAGCTTGTCCACTAGAATACACGCCTCTCAAACACGCCACGGGCAGGGCAGCTTTGTAGGGTTTTTGTCCACATGGAGGGAGGCGGAGTTCTTGCCCAGCGGGTGCTGCTGTGCTACTCCCCACGATTCAGATCCAAATGTGGGGCTCAGTGCTTCTGCACCTGCCCAGTGTCACCATCTAGAAGTGGGTGCCGAGTGCATCCTCTCTGCACACGGCCCTCTGCCGCCGTCCCGAGGTGAGGGGCCGAGTGCATCCTCTCTGCACACGGCCCTCTGCCGCCGTCCTGAGGAGAGGTGCCGAGTGCAGTGCTTCTGCACACGGCCCTCTGCCGCCGTCCTGAGGTGAGGTGCCGAGTGCATTCTCTCTGCACACAGCCCACCAAGCTCTGACGTGTAGGATGCAGCCACTTTGCCCGGGGAGCCCTGGTCTAAAGTGCTGGTTAGGGGGCTTCTGCAGGCAGTTTCCTGTGAGCAAGTGGAACTGGACTAAACACAAAGGAGAAAAAAAGGTTAGACTTTCCTTTATTAGGCAGTTTCTGTTTTGATTTCCCAGAAATTGTTAATAGACTTTGCCGGTGAGTTTCTTCTTAGTACTAAATAATATTCACTTGCCTGGATGTACCACAGGCTATTTATCACTTCTGAAGAACATCTTGATTTCTTCTGAAGTTTTTGCAATTATGAATAAGCATCCTGCTGTGAACATCCTTGTGCAGGTTATTTTTTGTGTGGACATACATTTTTTTAGCTCCTTTGGCTAAATACCAAGGAGCATGATTGCCGGATAGTGTGGTAGGAGTTTGTTAAATTGTGTAAGAAATTACCTGACTTGCTTCCAAAGTCAGTGTTACCACACCTTCTCACTGGCCACAGGTGAGGGTTCATGATGCTCCACATCCTCATCAGCCTCAGGTGTTGCCAGTGTTCCAGATTTTGGCTATTCTCATAGCTGTGTAGTGGTATCTCATTGATATTTTAATTTGTATTTCCCTGCCAACAGTTGATTTGGGGCATGCTTTTGTGAGCTATTTGCCATCTGTGTATCTTTGGTGAGGTCTCTGTTAAGGTCATTGGTCCATTTTTTGCCTTAGTAGTCTGAAACAAGACAGTGATAGGAATGATGGACGGGAGGAGACGATATTAAAGATGTTTTGGGGGACGGAATTGACAGGACCCGGTGACTGGCTGAAACTGCTGAGGCGTAAGGAGGAGCAAAAAGTGAGATTCAAGTTTCTGGCCAAAGTGAGTGGCTGGATAGTGGTACTTCTGGGAGGAAGGGGAGGCCCAGTACAAAAAAATCATCTGAGGATTGAGCACAGAAATGAGTCTGGGTGTCTGTGTCACTGAGACACCTGTGCAGAGATGTCCACTCTCCTGCCCAGTTCATGATCAGTTGCTTATCTTCATGATCAGTAGCTGGTGCTGCTATGGGCAGTTCTTACTCTATGGAGCTGTTTATCCTTCAATGCAAAACCTACATCTGTATGATTTATACCTTACTTCTGTCGTGTGGCTCCATTAACAAGTGAGAAGTCTCCAACCTTTTAAAACCTGCATAGAAAAGTCTTCCCACCTGCTACAGTCTCCAAGAAGTAAGCCTGCAAAGTTGCTTTATATTGCTGTTCAGTCACTCAGTCGTGTCTGACTCTTTGCCAGGCTTCCCTGTCCATCACCAATTCCCGAAGCTTGTTCAAACTCATGTCTGTTGCATCGGTGATGCCATCCAACCATCTTGTCCTATGTCCTCCCCTTCTCCTCCCACCTTCAATCTTTCCCAGCATCAGGATCTTTTCTAATGAGTCAGCTCTTCTCATCAGATGCCACAGTATTGTAGTTTCAGCTTCAGCATCAGTCCTTCCAATGAATATTCAGGGTTGATTCCTTTAGGACTGACTGGTTTGATCTCCTTGCAATCCAAGGGACTCTCAAGAGTCTTTTCCAGCACCACAGTTTGAAAGCATCAGTTCTTTGACACTCAGCCTTCTTTATTGTCTGACTCTCACATCCATACATGACTACTGGAAAAGCCATAGCTTTGATTCTACAGAGCTTTGTCAGCAAAGTGATGTCTCTGCTTTTTAATATGCTGTCTAGGTTGGTCATAGCTTTTCTTCCAGGGAGCAAGCCACTTTTAATTTAATGGCTGCAGTCACTGTTCACAGTGATTTTGGAGCTCAAGAAAATAAAGTCTATCACTGTTTCCATTTTCACCCCCATCTATTTGCCAAGAAGTGATGGGACCAGATGCCATGATCTTCATTTTTTGAATGTTGAGTTTTAAGCCAGCTTTTTCACTCTCCTCTTTCACCGTCATCAAGAGGCTTTTTAGCTCCTCTTTACTTTCTGCCATAAGGTGGTGTCATCTGCATATCTGAGGTTATTGATATTTCTCCTATCAGTCTTGATTCCAGCTTGAGTTTCATCCAGCCCAGCGTTTTCACGTGATGTACTCTGCAAATAAGTTAAATAAGCAGGGTGACAGTATAAAGCCTTGACGTACTCCTTTCCCAGTTTTGAATATGTTGCTTTATGACATGTTTTATTTTTCTGTCTGGTGTGCTTCCCTGGTGGTTCAGATAGTACAGAATCCGCCTGCAGTGTGGGAGACCTGGGTTCGATCCCTGGGTTGGGAAGATCCCCTGGAGGAGGGCATGGCAACCCACTCCAGTATTCTTGCCTGAAGAATCCCCATGGACAGAAACCTGGCGGACTACAGTCCTTGGGGTCACAAAGTCGGACAGGGCTGAACAACCAAGCACATGTGGTCACTCTTGCCCTCTAGTGGCCAGTGGTGGCATAGCATGGGGCTGAGCCCTCACTTGGCCTCTCCTGAATTCTACCCCAGAAAGATTTTATCCCAGGGTCTTCTGACCTTCTGTTCCAATTTCTTTCCTTCCAGAGCCTCCCTCACTCCCACCAGGTTCCACCATCAATTTAAGTCTGTCACTGAAGAGGTATCCAGTGTCTAGTGGCACAGGAAATCAGTGACTCACAAAACAGGAAGACAGCTTGCAAATCACGTAATCCAGCTCCCTTCTTTTACACCTAAGGACCTAAGTGATTTTAACAGCCTCCTAACTTGGCTGGCTACATACATATGCATGCTCTGCAGTCTATCTTCCACACAGTGGCCAGCAGACTAGATTACGTCTGTCTCTTGCTTAATAATCATCCAGTGGTTTACTTTTCACCCTTGGAATAAAATCAGAATTATTTTCAAGATGGCCCTTCATGATCAGGCTCCTTTCTGCTTCTCTAAACGTTTTCTTATAAAAATCTTCTCCTTATTTCCTGATGGAGCTGGGCTTCCTTCTGTTCATCAGATGTGCCTAACTCTTTCCTACCTCAGGGCCTTTGCACATGTACTGCCCCTCATCCTTACGTCTCAGCTTAAAGGCCACCTCTCAGAGAGACCTTCCCTGTTAATCTCTGTAACAGCACTCTCTGTATTGCCCCAGTCCATGAGTTTTTGTCCATTATGTGCCTCCCTTTACCAGACTATAAGCTCCCCCAGGGCCTGCAGTGGAAGAAATTACAGAAGTCTTTGATGAACATTGGAGTTGGTCAAAAAACATAAGGCTTCTGAAGGTGGTAAATTCCTGCCAGTGTAAGGTTGACTAGAGTTCCTAAAGAAGAGGTTGTTAAATAATCGCTAAGGTCCCTTCATCTCTGTTTGTAAACTTTTCTATCCGGTATTTGAAAGATGGAAGATATTAAGATCCAATAATTTCTCAGTAGCTTGTGTTGGACTAACCCTGTCACAGATGATAATTATAAATTCTGGATAGAGTATTTGAAAGAATCTAATTGAGATTTTCGGAGAGAAATAAAAAGTAGGTGGTATCTGGAAGAGATTTAACCCTTGAAAAAAGGCACCTGCCCCCACTAAGTGAGATTCACATTGATGTTGCTCTTCTCTGTAAAGCACTCCCCAGTCTATATGGCAGGGAGAAGCTAGAACCGGAGCAGGAAGCTGCAGTTTTGGTGATTTGACAGGAAGCAGGCACCTGCCATTAAAGAGAGGTATAGCTTCTCATCATGGTCTTCCAAAGTAGAAGAATAATATTAATAGAATTGAGTTTAAAACCCAGAATGAGCAAGTGTAACCTATGATTGTATTGTCATCCATCAGGAAACCCTGGTTTGGGGGGACTGTTTAATGATACTGTGTGGTTGGGACTTTAAGTGACTATTTAACTGAATAATTAACATTAAAAAATGAATTAAAAGGGGCTTCCCTTGTGGCTCAGCTTGTAAAGAATCTGCCGGCAATGTGGGAGACCTGGGTTCGATCCCCGGGTTGGGAAGATCCCCTGGAGAAGGGAAAGGCTACCCACTCCAGTATTCTGGCCTGGAGAATCCCATGGACTGTATAGTCCATGGAGTTGCAAAGAATCAGACACGACTGAGCAACTTTCACAGACAGACAGACAGGCAGAGTCTGGGGCTTCCCAGGTGGCGCTAGTGGTAAAGAACCTGCCCATCTCCTGCAGGAGATGTAGGAGACATGGGTCGATCCCTGGGTCAGAAAGATCCCCTGGACGAGGCCCTGGTAACCCCTCCGGTATTCTTGCCTGGGAAATCCCATGGACGGAGGAGCCTGGCAGACTGTAGACCACAGGGTCTCAAAGATTTGGACGGGCCTAAAGCAACTTAGCAAGCACACACGCAGAATACAGGCCATCAGTGGCTAGAAAATGAAATGTGGCTAGAAAATCAAAGGAAATGCCCCCCAATCCATGCTCCCAATAAGATCAGCTGAGGCCTCTGTGAAAACTGTATTCCAGTTCAACCCCTCCTTCTGCCCATTTGTGCGTTTCATGCTTGCGGTTGTTGATCATGGAAATACTCTCCAAAAAACTTTCTGCTTCCAAATCATCCTGGCAGAGTCAGTTTCCTGGGGAACTTGACTTAACAACAGTCTAATTGATGCTTATAGAATGTTGTACCCAGCGACTATAGAATACTTGTTCTTTTCAAGTGAAAATGAAGCATTCATCAAGATAGACCACGGTGAGCCATAAAATTAACCTGAGTGGATGTCAAAAATGTTGAAGGATTAAAACCTTATAGACTATGTTCATTAATCATAAATGAATCATATTAAAAGCAATAACATTACAATATCTGAAAAAGCACTGGAGTTTGAAAATTAAAGATGTGTTTAAATAACACAAGTCAAAAAGAATTAGAAAGAAATAATAATTTTAATTGAATGATAATGTAAATATAACATATCAATTTTCTGGATTCACCTAAAGTGGTGCATGGAGGGAAATACATTGCTTTAACTGCTTGTATTAAAAAGAAGAAAGGTTTAAAATTATGGTATATTTCCATCTTAAGAATGTAGAAAAAAGAGGAAATTAAAACCTTAAACCCAAAGTAAGAAGAGAGGAAGTAATAAAAAGCAGATATAGGTGAACTAGAAAACAAATAATAGAGAAAATATAAAAAGCTGCAAGTTGTTTCTTTAAAAAATTAATGAAATTTGTAAATTCTTAACATAGATTAATCAAAAAGAGAAAAAGAAAATGACTAGTATCAGGAATATCAGGGGAAATTACTACAGACCTTGCAGAAAATGAAATGTTAATAAATACTATGAACAACTTTATGCCAATAAATTATACAATTAAAATGAAATGGTGAATGATATTGTTTCCTTAATTTCTCTTTCTGTTTTCTCATTGTTAGTGTATAGGAATGCAAGGGATTTCTGTGTGTTAATTTTATATCCTGCAACTTGACTGTATTCATTGATTAGCTCTAGTAATTTTCTGGTAGAGTCTTTAGGGTTTTCTATGTAGAGGATCATGTCATCTGCAAACAGCGAGAGTTTCACTTCTTCTTTTCCTATCTGGATTCCTTTTACTTCTTTTTCTGCCCTGATTGCTG